AAAGAAGAGAAAAGAATAAAAGAGTAACAGCCTCTACGTCAATCAGGAAGATACCCCATCTGCCTGTCACTGTTACTGGAGCTCATGTCAGAGTAGAGCCAGCCAGAAATGAAGAAAGCACTGGCTGCTCCACAGTGCCTATGTAGGGGGCTGAGAGGCAGCAATCTGATTGGAGTCAGGGCATAGGAGCCTTCTTAAGTTGCATTAGCATAACCAAAGCATCATTTTTATATAGGTTGTGCAGTTATTTGGGGATGGCTATAGACATTGATTGATGATGGAAATTAGGAGTGGGTGGAGCGTGTTATTAGCAATGTAGTCCTTAGTGCCTCTTTGGCAGGTGGAAGCTAGTGAGCCATATTAGCCCTCAAAGAGGAAGTATGGCACCTGAGGTTAGGAGAACCCCTGATCCAACACCAAACCATGGGGGCCCAAAGGCCACATTGAGATGATACACCAGAACAGTTCTAGCAGCCAAGAAGCATGATACCTGATGCAGGACCAAAAGGCATGAGAGGAAATAGGTCTTCTGAGTGGGAGATGAGGTAGGGGAAGAAGGAGACTCCAACAGCAAAAAGGCACAGAGAAACCCCAAAAGGGAATGTGCCTAATATGACAGGTTTAGCCCCAAATGCAAGGAAGCAGGCTTCACACCTCCCAAAGTCCTGGTTCCACTAAATAATCAGTAGAAAACTGTTTGATGGGCACGGTAGCGTGCTATATACAGAGTTTTCTTACATATGGAGTTGCCTCGGAAACAAAAAAGATCAGAAGGATAGCAAATGCAATTCCTTTTTCTATTGTTTTCAGACTCTCTTAGGCTCTTAGTATTCTACCAGAAGCAGACCGTAAACCCCTTGAGGGCTACAACCACATCTAGGTAATAAGACTTTGTAAAGCATTTCAGTTAACACAAACTTATGCATGTACTATTTCATATATCCTTACCACAACCCAGCAAGGTAGGTTTTTTGCAGATGATGATACAGAAATTCAAGCAATGAGTTCGTTTTGTCAGAACAATACAGAAAATACATTCTGCAGATGAGGAATCTGAGGCGCTGGTGGTGTTAATTGATTTACCACTTACCACGGACAAAGAGTTGATGCTTATAAAGCCAGGACCCACACCCAGGACTCGCAGAACCCCACCTCCTAATTCTCTATCCTTAAATTACACTTTCTTCCCAGCCCAACATGGTGCTAAAATTAGAGGTCAGCAGTCACAAAGTGGTCCATGAGGAATGGCAAACAAATGCTATTGGCTCTGCCTTTCTACTCTTGAATCTCCCAGGCAAGTTTGTTCTAACACCTGCTATGTTTTTTTACAGCATGCAAAAGGAAAGAACAAGAACATGGGAAGGATAGAGGCAACACACCCAAAAAGCCGAGGTTGGTCTTCACAGATGTCCAGCGTCGAACTCTACATGCAATATTCAAGGAAAATAAGCGTCCATCCAAAGAATTGCAAATCACTATTTCCCAGCAGCTGGGGTTGGAGCTGAGCACGGTCAGCAATTTCTTCATGAACGCAAGGAGGAGGAGTCTGGACAAGTGGCAGGACGAGGGCAGCTCCAATTCAGGCAACTCATCTTCTTCATCAAGCACTTGTACCAAAGCATGAAGGAACACCCACAAACTAAACCTCGGTGGAAAAGCTTTAAATAAAAAAATTTTTAAAAGACCAGGACCTCAAGATAGCAGGTTTATACTTAGAAATATTTGAAGAAAAAAAAAAGTGTTATTTATAGTCCAAAGAAACCAAAGACTTAGCTCACCTGCATTCTGACTTTGTTCGGAGACACACACTTCAGCGGGGCAACGACTTGGCAAGAGAAAATATGAGCAGAAAAGCACCACTGGATCTCACACCTTCAATCCATGATCATTCTTGCTGTGCTTGGCTGTTTTGTGGTTTGGAGCATAGTGATTTTGAGCCATTGAGTGGACATCTTTTAAGATCAGACTTTCTCATCTGTTCCACTATGCCACGAAGGTGTATGGTGTCTCAGTACTGTGTGTGGGTACGTGAGTGCATACACATACATACACACACACACACACACACACACACACACACACACACACGCATCACCAGTGGTTAGGGACTTAGGCAGGCTGGTCTTCAGGAAGGGTTGTGCTATAGGAGTGCACCCAACATAGTGTGGGGTTGTCTGAGTTCATTGGATAGGAGTGTGATTTCGCTCGTCTAGCCTAGCGTTTGAACCTGCCAGGCCCGCAACCTAAATGCAGATTCAAACCCAGCAAAGAAAATTTGAATGACACCTAAACCAGTGCATTCTCTTTGTTTGTTAAGGAATGTTCAGATATTTTTTAAGAAATGAAACAAGAGTCCATCCATTAAAAGAAAAATCACCTAGGTACCAAAGAACACACTTAATATTATAGTGCAGGTATTTTATTGCAATGATTTTAATAACCAAAGCTATTTTTACACAAGATACTATGTAAAGTTATACGTATAAACTGATCTAGCTGTAATACACATGCCACATAGAATCATGACTATTATTTATGACTCTTGAAGCATTTGAAATATTAGTTTTCAGAACTGGCAAGAAAGAATGTAGCTTCAGGGAAGCATTTAATATCAGAACAGAGAGGTCAGTGTAGTATACATGTACATCCAGATGGCACACTCCCTTTCGGGATCCATAAATGATTCTTAGACATATAGACGTGATGCCATAATCTGTTCATAGCTGAGAAAACCTGGGGATTCTTCCAAAGTAGGACCCCATTTATAAATTAGAAAACTAACTTTAACAGAGCAAACAATTAAATTAGAACATTTGTTCAAAGTAATGCTTTTTTAGTAAAAGACCACTGAATAAAGGATATCATACTTGGGTTAATTTGACTGAAAGTTGCTTTATGCATTTGACACCAAATACCTTTTTAAAATATTTTACGAACACACAAAGTGAGCAGACCAACATTATCATTAAAATGAACTATCCAGTATTTGTAACCAAATTGATCTTATTGCCAATCTCAGACATATTATGACTTGAACATCAATAAAAATAGCAGAGGCAACTGAGAAGTGGTGGAACGCCATAGAAAAAACCAGAGTTCTAGTGGAAGACAAGACTTTGGGTTCTTTTGGCATAAAGCTATTTATTTCACTAAGCATAGCCTCCAAAGTATACTACATTCTTTCTTGCTACTGCATTAAGCTGGAAATTTTCTAACAGAGAGTCCACTCTCTAACAGGGACAGATAAAACACTAGATCTGAGCTTCCAAATACAAAATTTTCAATTTCTGTTTTTCCAAATTACTTCACCAGAACTGGAGAAATCAAGGGGGAAGAAAAAAACTAATACAGTTGTACTAGCAGTACCCAAGTAAATCACTTGCTTCCCAGAAAAATTCTCTCTGAACTCCATTGAATTGTAACTCAAACAAATGGATGTCTTTTGTACTATTAGGTAAAGAATTGGGTACTCTTGGTTAATTAGCACACCTAATTAGAGATATGAAGTGAAATGTTATCACAACAATAAGTTGTTAATTGATATTCATTAAAATGCTAAAGGAAAAATATTGAACCATCTTGACACAAAACCTAACTCCTTAAGGTCAAGTCTCAGCGTCTTGTCTAGGTCTAGAAAGAGACGGGCACCTGGAGAGATGAAACTAAACCAACAAGCCATCTGGATCTCCTTCATGTCTGCTGTAGAATGAGAAAAGCAAACCAACACATACTTCTCCTTTAATGAAATAGTGCATTTGCCTTGACACATTTTGTCTTAGTATTTTTTTTATCTCATACCAAACTCCAGCTTAAAAATTTCTCTTCTAAATATGGCACAACTACAGTTCAGCTATTAAAAGAGAGCATTTCAGTGGCCACCCTTAGAGATTTGCTTAACATATAATCTTGTCAATGACATAAACCAAAAGGAAAAAAACTGATTAACTTTTTCACTCTCTCCAGGAATGGTGGGGGCCAGGGGTACAGCTATAATAATATATTTATAATTCAGGAGGGAGGAAAGCCTTATTTATTTAAAACATGAGAATATTAAATGCAGGGACATTCAAGCTGTGTCTACACACAATCTTACCAAATTCAGCTCCCCAGGAAAAACAAAAGTTGAATTCAAACACCATGGTTTTTGCTTCGTTTGTGCTACATAACCCCTTCAGATTGATCCAATTGCATTTGACCTTTCAACCAATTATTTTGGTACTGTGTAGACACAGTCTCAGAGAATATTACTACATTTCTAATATTCCCATCATAATGCTTTTTTGAAAAAAAAAAATACAGTGATCCTATTTGCTAACACCAAAGATAATTTTCATACCAGCATTGAATTTGCACCCATTACGCAATTTCAGGGCCTAGAGATATATTTTCTCATAAACAGATGCACAAATCAGAGCCTGAAAAGCAATTTTTTTACTTGACTGTTCAAGTATACTCACAACCTTTGCTTTTTAGAAATCATAACGACAAACTCAGCTTCTCATGAGCAATATACTCGTTACGTCATGTACAACTGATTCTTTATTGCTTCTAACTTGGCATGTGGCATTAATTTATGGCTCAGCTTTCTTAACCTACCACACTCAACGGAGCAGATCACATGCCATTTGCTCATCCATTATTTCTCAATCCTTTTGGAAAATTCACCTAAAAAGGTATCTCATTTTTTCATTTGTATGTTTGTTTCTTCCAGAACTGCACTTCACTTAACATGTTTTGGGGTTCTGTGGGTTTTTTTTTTTTTTGGTAGAATGGAAGTTAGACTGTTTTTCACCATAAACCATTCAGGTCCTCTCATGCCTAGAGGTTTCCCTGAAAGGGGGCAAAGAAAGAGAGTGGAAGATGAGAAGTCTGGATACTCCAGAAGCCCAGACTTCAGTGAATGTTCAGGTAAATGAATTCTGAATGTCAGGAACTAAGTATTCAGTCCCTGGATGCAGCTGTCATAGACCCCCAAACCCAAAGAGAATGTGGGGAAATTCAGAAATTCTAACTGAATATGTCACTCACTCTGCACCCCCCAAAAAAAAGCATAATTAATTTTCCAGGACAAAAAAGTAAAAGCACCATGCTACTTTTGGACTCATGCCACTCCCATTGCTACCCCAGGTGAATGATCCATCTTTGCAGGTTAAATGCAAACTTTGCTATACCAAAGAGTCCTAGGACATTTTCACATGAGCTATAAAGGCATTTTCTGTAAGAAAGGTCCTCCCTTCTTTGTACATAAAGGATGAAAACTATGCATTTAGCAAACAAAGAGAAAGCACTTCCCCCTTTCCTATCTAGTTGTTTAGGGTGCATTCAAACACCAGAGGCCATTTTGAGATGCGATTGGCCTTCTGGATTATTCTTGTGGTGTGGTTAGCTTTACAGTACATTTGGTAACTATTTCCTAAATAGTAAGGACAAAGAAGCAGAAGGTAAGAAATAGCTACTTCCACGTGTAAAAAAAAAAAAAAAGAAAAAAAAAGAAAAAAAAAGAAAAAAAAAAGTGTAAAGATCTACTATTTATAGTGTGAACCAAAGACGCTACCTCACTCGATTTCCATTGGTGATTTTAATCACATTGATGATACCAAAGAATACCAAAGATATTTTCATGCACGGCCTTGGTCTGCAGAGGGAACTCCACCCTTTTCCCTCCCCCACCTCTCCTCCCCTCCTCACTCTTCACTCAGTGTGTAAACTTGTCTTCATTCTTAATAATAATGATACGAAATGATAACAACAACATTAGGAAATACTACTCTGACTACTGCTAGTTCTACTTGTAAATCTCTAGGCAAAACTGTATGTTGCAAACAAGCTTTGTAAACTTAAACTCTAGGACGAGTGCCTTGCTTGAACCAAAGTGTTAAACCGCTGTTGACCTCTCACCTTATACTCTTTGAATACCTCAGCCTCTTAGAAAGGCCACTAATAAAAAAAAAAAAAGGAATAATTATTCACCGTGGTGCTTTTTCCGTGCAACCATGCAATGAAACTTTCTTTGATACCAAAGGATGACTTTTCCCCAATTTCTTGCTGATAAACAAAGCTCCTCCTCCTGCTCCTCTCAAGATCCCCCCCACTTCACCGAGCCCCTTCACCAGGCAGGCCGTGCATCACTTTTACCAATTCCTCCAAATACCTCATAGTAATAAAGTTTTAGGGTTATGTTGTATAGAGAGTCTATGTGATAAGGCAGAACTTACTAGTTTGATAATTGTTGGGTTAAAAAACTTTATAATTTTATAATTTATTTTAGTTTGTATGTTGGATGTCCCCCCCATGCCACCTCCTCCCATTACTCCGCTGGTTTGGGGTTTCTTGGCAGAACTGCTCTGTTGCTCAAGGAAGACTTAATTTCCAGAAATGTTCCCCAGGTGGGTTAAGGATTGTGTAAAAAAATGCAAGAATGGAATAAGAAATGATTCTCCTTTTGATGGTTACTTATGAAGTTTTTGTGTTTTGTAGTAAATTTGTTTCCACAGGGTAAAAAAAAAATATATACATATATATATATATAATCTCTTTTTTGTGAAACTGGTTCCTATTTTTCTCTATAATGTGCTGTGATTTTTTTTTTAATTTAATTACATTTTATATGAGCTTATTTAATCA